TAGGACTTTTGGCTTTTTAACCTGTTCCATAATTTACTATGGTCATTTCGTTAGCTTATTGTAAGTTTTTTTTTTTTTTTTTAATTGGATGGTAAATTATTCAATACCACTATGATCGTGATCACATAGATTTTTATTGTTTTATCCAAGCAGGTAACTTGCTAAAAGGCAAAAAGCTCAATTTATTAAAAGTAAATTTTTGGCTTTAAAAGCAGTATGGGCTAAAAGCAAAAAAGAAACATGCTTTGCCAAACACCGACAATATTGTTTTTTTGACTTTTTTTTTTTTTAGTTAAAAATGTTGAGTTCTCGCCTAAAAAAAAAACAATGTGTCTTGTGTCGACGTGAATATTGAAATTTCAAGATTTTGGAAAGGGAGTCCTTTGAATACGTGCAAAGTTCAACTAGAATGTTTAGACTAAATTTAGTTGTCGAGGGACTTGATTTAGGACTTTAATTGAAAAGCATTGAAGGTTTGATGATTGGAAAATAATTATTTTGGACCTTGGGGTTTTTGCAATGACTTAAATAATTTAATAAAAAATAAAATATTTTAAATTTGAATAACATATTATGTAAATAAGATTTGATTAAATGATGAGTTAGAATTGATCTTTATTGTACAACCTAAAATCTTTAAAAAAAAAAAGAGAAAAAAATGAAAAACTTATTCAATAATGGAGTCAACAGCTAGTGACTAACCAACGTTGCACTTTAAAACTAACTTTAATGACTAAACTTACAAATTTGAAATATGAGTGACTAAATAGAAAGTTATAGTTAAGTTCAATTACGAGGGTGTATTTTACCCTAAGATCTGTAGGTATTGAGTGTTGGGTTGCCCAGAATGGACTAGCTCAAACTGGGGGCCCTAAAAAGTCCAACAACTCGCAAAGATGCAATGAAAAGCAACTCAAGAATCATATAGTGTTCCAAAAAATATTTTCTTTTTCTTAAATTAAAAATTTAAGGATAATATTTGTATTTATTTACAATTCCCTTAAAAAATTTGAAAAAAAAAGATTTTTTGTAATTGGATTGTTAATTAAAGTGAATGAATAATGATAGGATTGTTGTAAGAAAAAACTATTCATTTAATTAAAAGATATAAAAATAACAATTAATTTGAGACAAATTCAAATTCAGATAATAGTTACCTTCAGACACACACGGTATTCAGCAGCATTGTAACTCGTCCTCTGCACAACACAGAACACACTGCAAAGAACAGGATGTCAAATACACTCAACACTTAACAGACATCTTTTGCAAAAAACTGGGGGTTGATACATCAATCACTAAAAGCACTGGAAGCTCTCAACCTTTAATCCACACGAATGATCTTGCTTGAATAATCTTCAAAATTCTCTCCTCTTCCCATTGCAAGTTCTCGAAGATATCCAACAAGACAGTAGCAGCCAAAAAAAGAGAAAGAAATGATTCCCCATTCTCTAACCTTGATATTGCTAGACCCATACTCTAAGTCTCAAACTGCAGACCCATATCAACAATTGAACCAGACAAACAAAACTGAAATTCCAGCATTTGCAACAATGCATCCAAACTCTAAATCATCTTACATCTTATAAACAAGTACTTTGCATCCTCAGATCTTAAACCACAACCAAATTTGAGCATTTCAGGGTAGTTATACTGAAAATTGGAAATGACTTTGTGCTAGCCCTTTATGATTAAATAAATCTAGCACACACATATTAATGTGTGTGTAGCACCGAATCTAAAAAATACATGCCATCTATCATATGTTGAGGACTGGATTTAACCTCGAAGGTTTTGTAAGGCAATAAATTTAAAACTGAAAGTGAAATGTTCAGTAACAGTTTAGTCTTTCATTATATAAAACTACCGCAACCAAGTAGTGGAGAAACATTATTTGAACAACAAAGCAACAAAAATAAATAAAATGAACTAAAACTTTTCAAACACAAAAGCGGAAAAAAAACAGAAGCCCCACATGATGGAATACATGAATTCTCTATATGATAAATCAGTTAAACCATTAGAGTGGGAGAAGTCCCACTTTGATTAAGTTAAAATGAAACCTTTAGACCTCATATGGTATTTGAGATCACTTGCATTTTTAACGATCCCCATGATTCACTTGAAAATAATGGCTCCATGTCTAATGACAAAGTACCTGTAGAGGCACCATCCCATTGGTTGGTTACTTCAATTTTTACATAACTATTTCATGATTTTGTTGACCATGTGACTTGTCTTTCAAAAGGCTCCAACTCCACAGCAACTTCTATCATCTTTGGCCGCCTTTTTCCACTCAAGCGCAAGCATTGATATGCAAGTTTAGCTACCTTTGTTATCTCTTCAAGTGCAGAACTCTTCCTTACTCGAGCATCAAGAATATTAAAGAGTCTGTTCTCTTCCATTGAAAGAATGAAATTTGAGGCCAAACGTCTTGCTTCCACTTCCTTTGTCCTGCTAAAGAAATTGGTTTTTCTCTAGTTAAGAGCTCAACAAGGACAACTCCAAATCTTTTGACATCACTCTTTTCTATAAATTGACTTGACTAGAAAGATTTAGGTTCCAAGTTCCCAAATGTGCCCTTCACAATTGTGGTCAAATGAGTTTGATCAATGGCAATTGATATTGATGTCCCAAAGTTTGAAACTATTGCCTTGTACTTTTCATCCAGTAGAATATTTGAGGACTTGACATCTCGATGATAAATGGGAATGGAGGCTTCTTAGTGCAAGCAGGAAAGTACACTTGCAACTTTTTCTGTAGTTGTTAACCTTCTTTCCTAGGTTAATGGCAAGTCCTTGTTTTTTTTTTTTTTTGAACTGAAGTTAAATGGGAAGTCCTTGTTTTGATCATGTATGTACTGGAAAAGTGTCCTCTTGGGGATGAATTCATAAACTGGCAGAGGAACTTCATTCTTCAAACAATAGCCTAATATCTTAACAATGTTTCTATGATTAATTTGTGTAAGAATGACCACCTCATTAATGAACTCTTTAACTTTCTCTTTATGAAGTACTTTGGACTTCTTAACCACAACAGTTCTTCCATCAAACAACATTCCTTTATAAACAGTGCCTTGGCCTCCCTGACCAAGTATTCTATTCCTATTGAACTTGTCATTTGCCCTCTCCAACTCTCTGGTACTAAATATTTTGGTCTTTTCAATATTACCCTCAATTGAAAACAGTTGTTGTTGCAATAATAAACCTCCATTTTATTTGAAGAACTGCCTTTGAAACTTCGTTTTCCTTTTCTTCTTTAAGATTTTGTATAACCACCATGTAGCAATAGGTAAATACACTACTCCAAACCCTAGCCTAAGAACTGCAGATATCGGAAAAATGGTTGACTTTAGCATGAGATACACATGTATATCGGCATTTGATTATATAGAAGTCTAGTTTCATGGTTAGACAATTCCAATTTCAAAATGAAATGGAATGAAATCAATAAAAGTCCACAGGATTCTGCATGGTCTTTTAAGAAAGATCTTTAGGTGAAAAAGATGATGAGAGATGGTGTTAGTATTGAAGCTGGGGATGGTAGACAAACAAACCTCCCTTTTTTATGACTGTTGGCTACCAGAAGACAGAATTTGTGGAAGGCTACGAAATGTGGCTGAGATCACCATGGGCATGAAACAAAGGTTCTCGGTGTAGATAATCTAGCAACTAGATATTCCGTTATGGTGGTTGAGATGAAAGGCTTGACTTTGTCTGAGGGAGTAGATAATGTTTTGTTGCAATCAAGGGGCTTCTGAATCAATTAAGGCTGCCAATTGTCAATTGATGAGGTTACAGGTTTATAGAGTACGAAGAAATGTATGCAGGATGTATGTTCTGGAACCAACTGCTCAAACATCAAAATCCAAAGAAAGAAAGACTCAACTGGCCTGCTTCACTAAATTTAATATGATGCATTACTAGAAAATTTTAATATACTTGAAAATTCCTTTTTCTTTTAGAGGATGGTTGGCTGCCACTTGGAAATTCTTAGCTTCTAGCTTCACATTAAATTCTAATGTTTAAATATCATTAACCGATTCAGTTGTTGACCAATTGATGGATACTCCTTTCAGTCTAATTTAGTTGTCCCACCACTTATTAAATAGAGGGGGTCTAAATTAGTTGTCTAACTCTCCAATTTAAAAAAGAATTTAAATACTAGTTTTTCAAAGTTCATTATCTGAGATGAAATGAAAATGCATTACGATTTTTTGGTTTAATTGTGAGTAAGGATGAAATGAAAACAAAAGGTTCCAATTTTATCATCTTGGTTCTCCACATTATGCGTGGAAGAAAATAGGTCTCTTCTTGTCTTATGACACTTGATTTGAGTTTGCAGATAGAAGAAAACTATTTGGAAGGCTATTTCAAGGTAACAACTGTCTTCGGTGCTTCTAAAGTTCTGCGCATAGATAAGTCTTATTACTTGGGTTTTCAATGCCATAATTACCATGTTATCTTGCAATATGATTTTTTAGCTATACAGAAATTAAGGGCATTTCATGCTAGTCTGATGATTGTTTGTTAATGCCGAAGGTGTGATTAACTATATTTTCCTTTTAAATTTCTCCTCATTCTTTCATGAGATAAATCAAGCAAGGAAATATGCTTCAATGCTTTACTGACTGAATATGTTGCTAAGATAAATTTGTCTGAGTGGTGAACGTTTCAGGATAGTTGAGCTGGAATTGGGAAATGACATTGTGCTAGCATTCTGAGGAATTCGATGAAATAACTCATGCATACAGATATTAATGTGTACATAGCACCAAATCTAAAAGTTGAATTAATTTAATTTTGACGAGTTTTTGTAAGACATAAAGAATTTAAAACTGGAAAGGAAATGGTTCAATAATACTTTAGCTGTCATCATGATATCAAATTATTGTAACCGAGTAGTGCATAAACTTTATTTGAATTTAAACTACAAAGCAACAAAAATAAAAATTAGATGAACCACAAATTGTCAAACACTAAAGAAAGAAAGAGCTTATTATATTCCTCAATATGGAATAAATAAATTCTAGGATATGTCAGCTAAATCCCCATGATTTACTGGAAATTAATGGCTGCATGTCTATGGACAAAGAAGCTCTAGAGTCCAAACCTGAATCTATTGAAGTTGAGGTACCAGCCCAGAGATTGTTTACTTCACTTTTGACATATGTAACCTCTTCATGATTCTGTTGACCATTTGAGTTGTTTTGCAAAAGACGAATCTGCTCTAACTCCACAGCAACTTCTATCATCTTTGGCCGCTTTTTACCACACAGGCTCAAGCATCGATGTGCAAGTTTAGCAACCTTTGTTATCTCTTCATGTGCAGAACTCTCCCTAACTTGAGCATCAAGAATACTAAAGAGACTATTCTCTTCCATGGAATGAATGAAATGAAAGGCCAAACTTCTTTCTCCTTCTGCCCTTGCTAAAGAAACTGGTTTTTCTCCTGTTAAGAGCTCAACAAGGACAACTCCAAAACTGTAAACATCACTTTTTTCTGTAAATTGACTAGATTGGTAATATTCAGGATCTAGGTACCCAAATGTGCCCTGAACATTTGTGGTCAAATGAGTTTGATCAATGGCAATTAATCTTGATGTCCCAAAGTCTGAAACTTTTGCCCTGTACTTTTCATCCAGTAGAATATTTGAGGACTTAACATCTCTATGATAAATGGGAATGGAGGCTGCTGAGTGCAAGTAGGAAAGGGCAGCTGCAACTTCTGCTGCAATTGTTAACCGTCTTTCCCAGGTTAATGGGAAGTCTTCATTTTCATCATGTATATATTGGAAAAGTGTCCCATTGGGGATGAATTCATAAACTAGCAAAGGAACTTCAGTCTCCAAACAACAGCCTAATAACTTAACAATGTTTCTATGATTAATTTGCGTAAGAATAACCACCTCATTGATAAACTCTTTAACTTTCTCTTTATCTAGTACTTTAGACTTCTTAACTGCAACAATTCTTCCATCAACCAACATTCCTTTATAAACAGTGCCCTGGCCTCCCTGACCAAGTATCCTATTCTTGTTGAAATGGTCAGTTGCCCTCTCCAACTCTTTGGTACTAAATATTTTGGTCTTTTCAATATTACCCTCAGTTGAAGACAGTTGTTGCTGCAATAAAAAACCTCCATTTTGTTTGAAGAACTGCGTTTGGAGTTTCTTTTTCTTTCTTTTCTTTAAAATTCTGTACAACCAATATGGACCAATAAGTAATCCCACTACTCCAAACCCTAGGCTAATGCCTGCAGAGATCAAGAGAGGAGAAACGGATGACTTTAGCAGAGATACACATGTATAACAAAACTTGATTATATTCAGTTTCATGGTTAGTTAGAAAATTTGAAATGAAATGAAATAAAATAAATAGAAGTCCACAGGATTGTTCATGGTCTTTAAGAAAGATCCTTAGGTGAGAAAGGTGATGAGAGATGGTGTTAGCAATTAGTATTGAAGTTGGGGATGGTAGAAAAATTAACATCCCTTTTTTATGAGTTTTGGCTACCAGGAGACAGACTTTGTGATGGGCTACAAACTATGGCTGAGATCACTAATTACTAAGCTACGGCTGGCATGAAACAAAATTTCCCGGTGGGGGCAACTTGGATGGCAGATGCCAACTAGTTTTGAAAGGAGATATTCTGGTAGAGTAGCTGAGAGATCAAAAGGCTTGACTTTGTCCGAGGGAGCGAATAAAGTTTTGTTGCAGTCAAAGGGCTTCACAATTTATTCTATTGGTGCTAGTGAAATGTCTGTTGAAGACAAAGGATAGGTACTGAACTGCAGAGGTATGTGTTTAAGTTAAATTTTTTGTTTTGTTACTGCCGAGGAATCATACAAGTATCTCTTTTTTGAATGCCCGTTTGCTTCTCTTGTGGAGAACTGTGTTATTGAGATTGGGGATTAGTAGAAGGCTGAGAAGTTGTACTGAGGAGTGGTTGTGGATCCGGAAGGAATGCAAGGGAAGAAACAGAAGTACCTAGCTTAAGTGCACTTTAGCTACTTCTGTTTATGAGATATGGGGGGAAAGAAACTTGAGAGTTGACACAAGGGAAACTGTTATGGTCTATCAGTGCATCATCCATATGCTGGTATTGCTGACAGAGTGAAGGTTATTTTTCGCAATAAGTTTTCTGATATTAATTAGCGGTAAGCAACAGGGTATGAAAAAGGCATACTTGCCACAGGTTAAGTATTTACCTGACCTGTTACTTAAACATATATTTCAGTATAACTCCATATGTAAACAATTTTTATTATTTACATTTAAATATTTATTACTAAAATTAAATAATAGTCAAATATCTGATAAAACTATTTCCTTTTTAATGTTTTCATAAAGCCATTTCTAAGTCTAATTTATAGGTCTCTAACTCTATTATAACTCTTCTTGTAAGTAGTCAATAATGGTAATCAAATTATGTGTTTTATATATATACAGTCAGTATGCATGAAAGTCCCTTGTTGACTACTCCATGTAATACATTCAACTATGTCTTAATTTGTGTTAAATTATGAGATCAGTGCTTATCTTCCTTGCCTTAAATTTGGAGAAAATATCACTATATAATTATGTTATTTTAATAAAATTTTATAAAAAATGATAATGTGATTCATATTTTAAAAATAACTATTTTAATTATTTAATAAAAATTTATTTAAATAATTTAATTTTGATGTATTTTTTAAAAAATTTTTGTTGTTGGTAGATATTTTTCCCTAAATATCAAATTATAT